CTCAAACTCGTGAGGAACAGGCTATTTCTGGCCTGTTCCGCATCCCTGTTTACGTGCCTGAGTCTTAGGGGCAGGTCGAAACAATGAGGGCCTGAAAATGGCCCTCCGTTTCAGGCTGAAAACTCTGGGTCTGAAAAGACCCAGAAATAGGCTGAAACGGGGTAGGGCCTGCAGGCCCTCGTTTTTCAGCTTTCAGGCTGAAACGAACGGGGCCTGTAAGCCCTAAGTTTTAGGCTTTTAGGCTGAATGTCCGGGACGGGCCCTGCAGGGCCCGTGTGGCTACGCAGTATGCCACAGTATCTGACAGGTCAGGTCATATCTTTGAGTCTTTCGTCGCGCTACATTATGCTATTTCCATATCTGGATGCACATTGCTTGTTGATGCTTTGCTGACGCTGCATTCTGACACTGCATTGTCCATTCGAGTCCTTTTCATCACTTTGCGGATCCTTGGCTTCATATACATCGCTCGACTGAGCATGTATCACTAGAAACCAGTAGGACCCTGTATGCCCAGGCAAAAATGGTGCAGCAAAAAGTGACGACCTAGGAGTACAGTCATTCAGTTTTCAGTTGGTGACTTTTGTGGGCAGCGCCGATCTTTGCAGCTGCTTACTGTCCACGTATACGCTCACCGCCTGCTTGAGACGTGGACAGTAATGAATGGCCCGGAATGGGACCGGCTTCACATATCAAGCCCGCTATCCTAACCTTCCTTCTGCTTCGTAGAAGCCGTTCTTTGACTTTCGCGTGCTGCTTTCAGGCATGACCTATGACTAGGCAAAGGACAGGCTTTGGGCGCAGCAATAGCCAGTGTGTTCTGGCTCGGTACCGCACAGTGTTGAATGACATTTGTTGCAGACTACTTAGTGCAGCCTGCCGCCCAAGTGGACATCACCTTTTTTTATTTTTATCAAGTGTGGTGGTGTGATTGTTGAATCGTTGTTCGATATGAGCTTGGCATACATTTTTCTATCCATTCTTCAAGATTTATCTTCAATTCAGTTTGTTTGAGTGCTGCACATGGGAAGAAATTGAAGTTGGCAAATTCCTAAGGGTGTGCGTGGTTGTGTGTTTTGGCTGTGTGTTAGTACCATCCACTCCGCATGGTATGACCTACCCCACATGGTCCTGCCAGCCCACATAGCATCACCCATGCCACAAGATACCGCCCCAGCCCACAGAGAACGGCCTGACCATGCCAAGGGCTGAGTTGTGCGGAACTTTGGCCTTGTGTTTTTTTTTGGGGGGGAACTGTTGGCTGTGGCACACTTTTAGTTTGAAATAGGCAACAAAAGAAAGTGGTGCCGATGTCATGATGTGAGTTTCGGAATGTGGAAGTTTAGCGGGCGTCTAAGACTGCGCCCATCATTACCTGCTGTGGCACTTGGCAGATTTAGGGTCGCCTTTTTTGCTCCATTTCGGGAACTGCTAAAGTTGCCTATTCTGAATGTCGGGCGTGACTTCAACGTACTTGCCCCTTTTTTTTTGTGTGTGCCTTGGCCACGAGTCACTCCACATAGATGTGGAATACTGACCAGAGAGAGGCCGACGAGTACTCCTTTTTTTTTTGCGTAAGGCCTGTGTTCATTTTTTTTTGCTTGGGTGCATAGATGCCAGAGGAGGGGGAGGTTAGGAGGAGGGCACGGGGTCAGAGGAGGGAGGAGAAGGTTATGGCTGAGGACGAGGGGCAGAACACAGCGGAGGAGGAGGAGGTGGCCGAGGAGGGGGATGGAGGAGCACAATAGGGAGGAGATGGCAGAGAATGCGGAGGACGAGGAGGAGGTGGTGGAGCACCAGGAGGAGGAGCAGGTGTGCACTGCGGGTGTAGCTGCAGTGGGCATCCAGTTGTTCCAATACAGCTCATGTTGTCTCAAAAATAAAAGAGAGAAAAAAAGGAACATACCCTTGACCATGTATGAATCGAGCACTCTCCTCAGTGTAGATGTGTGTTTCACTTTCAAGCCTGGACATTTTCCACAGCAAGTTGACAAAGCAACCACACCCATCTTTTGTCAGGTTGGCCTCCTTTCAAACCCATCTTGCCTACATGGGACATCCGAACTTCTGAAGACATATTCAGTCACACTGGACTCATTTCAAAACCATCCTGTATCTGACCGGATTCCATCAAATACATCTTGTGACCAGTTGGATTCACTTCAAAACGATCTTGTGTTCAAACACATTATTTGTCAAACTGTAACACCCATGTCTGGTTGGATGTTTCAAAACCTCCCGTGCTAAACTGTGACTAGCTTCAAACCACACTGTCAGATTGGACTTGAAACAGTTCTGTCAGGTTGACTCATTTCACACCAACCAGGTTGGACACATTTCTTCCCGTCTTAGTCACTGCATGCAGTTCCAATTGGTACTGACCCCTGCGCAAAGTTTACAGGTCGCACTAGTTCCTGTTACCAGTCTCCACATGGCACAGGCTTTACACATAAGCAAGCAAGCAAGCAAGCATGATCAGGATTTCAAAGCTTTCTCTACACATATGTCATGTGGTGTACTTGAACAAGACCTTCCCAAGCTTGGCTTCTCGAACAAGGGACCCAACTACTGCTAAAAGAAAGGAGCAAACCCCGGTGGCACTCACCAATTGAGACGGCCATGGAAATATATTGGGCCTGTGGCATTGGCTGGGCCAGCTGTTGCACGAGGCCCACAGCCTGGTTGTGCTCAATCGTTGCAGGACAACTGGAACAGGCACATGATGCAGGTGAAGGCTTAGGGCACAACTAGCCAAACGGCCACCACATCCGTCAATCCAACCCCACCAGCTTCAGTGTCCCACCTGCCCTCCCACCCCATCTCTCTCTCTCTCTCTCTCTCTCTCTCTCTCTCTCTCTCTCTCTCTCTCTCTCTCTCTCTCTCTCTCTCTCTCTC